TAACCCGAAAAGTTCATTAGCAGAGGCGTTCGTAACCCGAGGTACCACTGTATCTGTGTGTTTCTATCTATGATGCAATGTGGATTTACTATGTACACTTCGTTGCAACAGTTGACTTTCACACTATAGCACCCCTGAATTACCTTACTATAGTTGGAATCAAAAGGGATTTTTATTAGATGAACTACGTTATCCCACCTACATTATTTTGATAGGCAAAAAGAGTGTAAATGAGAGAAAGTCGAAGAATTGCAGATGTGCACCAGCAATAGCATCAACTGACCACCAGATGGGACTATTGTTAGCTGAGCAGCTATTCGGTTTTTAAATTATTATTAAAGTGTGAGGCTCACACTAGACATGACATGCGTGTGTACCTTTTTGCCATTCTTAAAAAATAAAAACAAAGCAGCCTGAAGGGCTGTTGGGCTGACCAGGTAAATGGGACAGGAATCTGGCATACATAAAACAATGTCTCACTCAGAACTGGTTCCTTTCAACTCCTGATCACAGAAAAGGCAGAAGTACCCTTTCTGGAGAAGGTTTTGAGTAGAAAAAGTTATATAAGAGAAAGAATTTAAGACAGAGACATCCACTACAACTATGCTGATACATGGCGGTATAAAAAACATGGGGTCCAGTGTCTTCTGGAGAATCAGGTCTGTGCATGCAAACATAGCCAGATGTAGAGTTATATATATGCACACACACATTTACATAAAGCCACTTCCCATTTCATCAGTGCTGTGATCTCTGAGGAATTTGAAACTCTTGCAAGTCATTCCTTCCATCAACCCCCAGGCCCATTTAGTGCCACTCTGGCCAGCACTCTCAGTTTCTTGCAAGTTTGTTTGTTTGTTTGTTTATCACATTTATATAGCCTCAAGTTCCATCTTTTCGTAGAACCTTTTTAGTGCAAAATCCAGATTTACATTAGTGAATGGTCTGGCTTCTGCACCAAGAGGGAGCTGTAGTCACTGGCTGTTTAAGAAGAGCCCAGTTAATTAAAAGTAGGGTTGTGGCAAACAGGCAAGTGTAGGCTGGTGGAACCTATTCAGGATGGGCTCCAATAAAGGTACCATAGGGGTATGTGCTGCACAGAGCACCAGTGGTCTGTCTGGCAAATTTCAGGATTGCCAATTTTTTTGTTTGTTTGTCTCCTTCAGTAGAACCCTAACGTTCATTATCCAGAGCCAGGTGAAAAACAATGGTTCGGACCCAGGGCTTCTGAACAAGGACTCAGCCCAGGAGTCTGTGAAGAGTATCAGATTGTTCCAGCAAATGCTTTCATACCAAATCTTACTTTCTCTCTCTCCCCTCCCCCAGCATTCTTTTCCACCAACTACTTTGGGGACAGGAACTTTTTGGAGGGACAGAAAGGGGTTTGTGTGTGTGCATGTGTGCTATGGCTTTTGTTAAGTGTGAGTCAGAGAATATCCTGGCAACGTACTGCAAATCATCCAGAGTTCTCTCAAGTCATTATTTTTTATTTTCTGTACTCGGTTAGTTTACAGAGCATATCAGGATAAGAATATTATTGTCATTCTGAAACAAAAAGAAGGTAAGAAGAAACTGCCAACTCTACCCAGATACAAGTAAGTCCAGTGCCACCTACTGATCAGACAGCATCGTGACATTACCCACATAGTGGCGCCATCACCTATGACAGTTTTTTTGCAGAGGTATATCTAAATTAATGCTCAGAGGGAAAAAATATATTCCAAAAGCATGCCTGATATCTTGGTTTGTCTTCCTTTATAGCACCCCGGACACACTACCTGGCAGACAGTGGTATGTGTACCTCTACTTCCTGCCTCCTTTGCTTTGTGCTCTTCAATCCACTTAACCCCAAGAGTTCTGATGGGGCTTGATGGGACTAGACTAATTATGGGACTCTTTGCCCATAATTAGGTGGTGATATTTATGGACTGATGTAAGGCTTCACATATCTGCATCTATAATGTTCAAGAGTAAAGATGAAATGGCAAGCCCAACCCTACTATTAGAGTGAGGTAGACTAGTGTTCTCAGGTTGAGAAACATTGATGTAGACCACCTTGGGAGGCAGCTGTTATGGGATTATTATCCATAATTTACTTTATTGGTGTATGTTTTACAACTAATGGGGACTGGGTTTGGATTTTATGAATAATTTCCTTAACATGCCTTCAGTCAAATGGTTCTGCTATTTAGAGATGCAGATCTTTCAGAGAAAATGTGGTGAAGTAATTAAGGAGTTAGCCAGACATAAGAAAGACCAGAATCAGATCCTTACTCTATTATGTATCTGATTGGACAATCTTGACTAGTCACCTTTTAGCAGTCCAGCTTATCACACCAGCTAATGATGAAGAAGAAATGGGTAAAGAATCACGTAGTCTATCATGTGCTTCTTTGAGGAAAGCAAGATTTTTTAAAAATGTCAGTAATAGCAATAAGTATGGGTGGACATTCTTTCTGTTTCTTCTGATAATTAGTATTCTTCTGGAGCTGGCCAGAAGAAAGGTACTTTTTCTTCACTGGAGATATTTATTCTGACTTGCCCCTCTCTTTTTTTCCTCAGATCCCCTCATTTCAAAATCTGCCTCTCTTCCTGCTTACAGAAGGAATGGGATACATAGGGTAAGAGTGGCTGACTTCAGCCCCAAGTGAAAGTCTTTCCAACTATTTCTTGTCTGAAAACAGCCACATTAATAAAATAAACATTGCCCTCCCCCTTATGATCATTTGTCATTGTAAGAGTCAGGAGTTCTCTAACCTAATGTTGAAAGTCATGTCAGTGTCAGAAATGGGACTGATATCCTTCCACAGGCATTATGCAGTTACTAAGAAACAGTTATGGAGACCCCTGGTGAAGATATGAACATATTAGATTACCAGTGGGAGTTTGAGCCAAAAAACCATAGCCACTCCTGAAAATGCAAGAATAGCTGGTGTCTCTGAATGGCTTCTTTAACTGGAGTGGAAAGCATTTGTCCTGCGTATAATGTTTCTGCTGGAGAAGCAGTTTCACAATCAAAGCTCAGACTTATGTACTGTATTCCATAGAGCTTACTTAGGGCCTTGTAGGACAAGCCATTGCAAAATAAGAGGAAAGTGTTTACATCATTTGAATAAATCCAAGATCAGATTCCCCTGGAAATTAGCTAGTCCTCTCATTTGTCAGAATGAGGAGGCTGCCTGAAATAGCATGGATGCTGGGAGATGGAAGGGATAGGAAGAAGTTATATTATGCCCAGCATCCCTGAAGTTGGCCTGCGGCACAGAGGTTAACTTGAAGACATTATCCTATTAGTATTGTTGAAGTTAGTATCATCTGCAAATCCAGCTTGCTTCTGTCAATGGAAATCAGAAAAGAGGTGCCATAAAGGGCACAATGTCTTGGGATAACCCTACTCATGAACCAATCTTGTAACTTCAAAACCATCACAATTTTTAGCTAACGTGTAACTTATTTCAGAAGCAAATAGCCTCACTAAGGCTAGAGAATTATTAAGATGTGAATGCATCTGACTTTGAACAGTCAATAAAATGGCACTTAGACAAACCTCCTCAAAGGGTGGTTGTGCAGATAACATTAAACATATTGTGTACATTGCCTTGAACCAGTTTGGCATACAAAACTGAATATAAACAAGCCAAAAATGATACTGGTTCCTGGGGAGAATATTAGTATATATGCAAAATACCCCAAATTGAAGCTTTAAGTCAACTTTCATTTCTCAGATTAATGTGTTGTTACCCTGCTGGCATATTTTCTCTAGAAAACAGCTAAGAGGCTGATTTTGGAGAAGACATTTATACTTTCCTCTTAGCGCCTCCCCATCTTACACTATTTCTCTGATTAATCTTCCCCTATCCTTCACCCTCATTGCCACTACATACAAATGGCAGGAAAAGTTTATGAACATCTTTATTGAACTAAACATGTGTTTCCAAATATTTCTTGCTGGAAGCAACTCTAAAAGAATGGAGAGATGTTTAACAGGATTCCCCATTTACTGACCACCCCTTCCTCCATACTATAATTTTCTATGCAGCCTCCCAGCGCTGAACTCTTCCATTACGACAGCACAAATGCCGTCAACTGGGGGATGCGAGGTAAGTGTAAGGACCTTAGAGCAGAAGTTTGGGGTGGGGGGAATCCATAGAGGAGCTGACTGTTGGGTTGGATTTTATCATTGTATTATTATGATGACTGTTTTGAAGCAGGCAAGAACTATCTAAGATTGGGTGGCCCATCCATGTGCTAAATAAGTAAATACTGTGTTCCTGGGATCTGTACCAGCATCCTAATTCAAGTGTTCCTAGATTTTCTCCTACAGAGATTTATACTGGCCTGAGATTGTGTTCTTAATATATTAGGTGAATGTTTCTGAAAAAGGGGATTCCCAAACTTTACAAAATTGAAACAGAATAAGAGAATTGGCTATGGTTATTATAAGTTGAATCTTGGTGCCTGATGCAATCAATCTGCAGTGCAGAGTCTGCCCAACAATTGTTGGTGGGAGATATGTCACTGACTATATTCAAATGACCCATGAAGCCCATGTGTTGTTGGCTTCTGATGTAAAGTTTTAAGATTTAATGTTAAGTGAAATTGTGATTAACAGAAGCAAAAACACTCATCCTATTAATCTTTTTGTGGGTAAGCAACACATAGCACATGGCAGTTGGGTAGTCAACTCATAGTGGCAGTTGCAAGAGAAAGCACTTGTAACACTGAGGCCCATTACTATTAGCTTTCACTGTTTCAAAGTTAGAATTGTTCATTCTTTAAATATAACCTTCTAATCAAATATACTGTATCAATATAAAAGTCTTTCTCTGGCAAGCACATGTGTTCTATCGGTATATTCAAATCCCCCAAATGTTCCATGGCCAAATAAGTTTGGAAAACACTGAACTAAATAAATCTGTATTACAAAGCTGGAGAGTCATGTCCTCAAATTTACCTTTACAGTAAATTTGCTTTCGATTTTTTTGAAGGTAGCCTGTAGTGCTGCCCATTTTAGTCAGGCAGGACCCAAGAATGCCTAATATTGCAAATACCACAGTATCAAATGTGTGTGTGTGTGTGTGTGTGTGTGTGTGTGTGTTTTGTTTTGTTTTAAGTTTTAATCTAATAGCTCCAAGAGGGTTTGCAAATGCCAAAGATGCCATTATCGAACAAAAGGGACTGGAGATTGACCTCTCTCTTTTTGTCTCCCACCTTTTCTCTGTCTCATCTTTTTCAGAATACAAGGTAACATGTTCACAGGAATCTTACAAGACTTCTAGAACCATGGATGCTCTTTTGTTGAAAAACAGGAAGCTGCCAGTATACTAAATAGCAACCAGGAAAAGCTGCATTAATTGTTGGGCTAGAAGAAAATCTGATCTTGCTCCCTTTTGTTTCCTTTAGTGCTTTGAGTACATCTGTTTGAATAAAGGCATTCTCAATGCCTCTTCTCTTTCTAAGACAGGAGTTCCTAAACCTTTTGCCATCACACCTCCCTTTAGTGTAATTTTTATGTACACACCTCCCCTAAAAATCTAAATACCAAAATGAACACAAATGAACAATGGAAACAATAAGCTCCATTGTATTGTTTTACTTGTTCATTTGTGCTCATTTTGGTGTTTGAATAGTAGATTTATTGTAACATGTAGCTAAAAGGTTCTTCACATCTTCCCTGGACTCTGTCTGCACCTCCCCAAGACAGGTACAGCTCACAGTTTGGGGAACACTGTCCTAAGTGTGAACTTCAGATGCACTGAATTCCTGGGAGCCTAAACTAACATGATCTTAATATTTTGGCTGTGGGTTATGACACTTTGGACTGATATACATGGGTGATGTTGAGCTGGAAAAGTTTAATAACTTAGGGAGATATCCTAGTAATCCTTGTATTTGAATATAAAAAATAAGAATTGTATGAGTGAATGGCAAATTATGGAATGAATGAATGACTGAATGACTGAATGAATGATGAAGGTCTTTTGTGAAAATTTGTGCTTTTGAAGAATTAAATAGACTTAGCAGTGGGAAGACTGAGTGCTGTAAGAGTGCTAAGGGAGGATACAGGATAAAATGAGGTAAAGAAGGAGGGTATTTGAAGAATTAAGTAAAGGACATTAGAAGTCAAGAAAGAACTTGCCACACATTGCTTCTAGTTTTCATTTTTAACATTTGCTGGAAACTTCTTTATCAATGTGCTGAAACATCTGACTCCCATTCAATTGCCAACAAAGAAATGAAAATTAATAATTTCCTATAGATATTATAGTTATATCCCATCTGGGTTGTAATATCATAGTTCACCTTCAGATTCCTGGATTCCCCTAATATCTTCTGGTAACAGCTATCAGGCCCTGTTGCTTTGAGGCAATTTCAGCCTGAATCAGATTCCCCCAGAGCATCTTCACACTGAAAAGACATTATTAGAGGTTATAAAATGTCTTTTTGCAAATTAGTATTCCATGACCCAGTGCAGCTCAAATGTCTTTGACTTCAATTCCTAAAGCATATGCTGACAGAAGAGTATAATAATTGAAATCCAATATATCTAAAAACTATTATGATATATGAGCTATACTGACTGGCAGAATTTCAGAAATAAATCTTTTCCAGGTCTGTCTGGAGGCTGAGAACCGAACCTGATATCTTTTATATGTAAAACATGAGCTCTGTCACTGAGCTACAGCCTACCATGTTCTACAAAGAAAGGCATTACTTTATTGGTAATGTCTTAATATGAAAATAATGTGCTGAACTAACAAAGTGATTTCTGCATCTTTTGAGGCTTTAACTGATCATCATTATGGCATCACTTGTGCTGTGTGTGTCAGCACACACTGCTGTTTTGTTGAGCAAATAGAAACTAAATGTCAGTGTTACCTCTATTATAATCAGATAAAGCATTGATATTTTCCAAAAATATTCTTGTACTTCTCTTATGGCATGCCTTAAATTGTGAACTGCCCAGAGTTATATTAGAGTTGGGAAGTGCTTAAATCTAATTAAATTAGTAAATAAACAAATAAATAAATTTTCATATTCACCAGCATTTTTACCCTGAATCCTTCACAAAGCAATATGAAACTAAGCAATGATTATCTTCACTTCTACTTACTGCAAAATGCATAAAAAATCTAGGGAATCAGTGTTCACTCTCTTCCTTCATAGCTGACTACTAGGAGAGTAAAAAAAAAAAAAAATGACATCCAATCAATGTCCCAACCACTGAGCCATCATGGCACATGGAATAATAAAAATCACATCATCACTATGTCACACAAAAAGGAAATAAATTGGTAGCATCTTCCATATTTTTCAATATGTGAAATTGTTTAGTGCTTTCCAAAGCAAAGAACCCAGAAAGGCTATGATGGAAAACTATCTGAGGAAGATCATTTCTTTAAAATGTAAAGAAAAGTACTGGTAGCCTGTAAGGGCTTCCTGACCACCTTCCACCATTCCTCTGTTGCAATTAAAAGCCCCTCTAAATTTGTAAAAGTGAAATGTTAAGCATACTGGCAATTTTGCAACCTTCCCAAGAGAACATTGTGATCAGGGTCATATGTCACTACCAAACAGAATGCTAAATCCCTATGGGCACAGCTTAAGGCTAGGTGCTAGAAAGCAGAAAGAGACAAGAATTTTCCCCAGTGGGAAAATGGACCACTTACAAGGTTTGCAGAGCTGCTGCATTTCAAAGGAAATACCAGCTTTGCTATGGTTTCCAATAAACTGGAGCAGAGTCAAAAATAAATCAACTCGGTTCCCAAAATAGAAGATGTCATGAGATCACTGAGATCCAGACCCTATCCTAAAGTGATGCAAAGTGCTGATGTGGAAGCTCCCTTACATATTGTACATTTTCTCAAAACTGTGTTCAGCTGATTATTCTTTTTGTGCTTCTTTGGTCCAGAATCATATTTTTTCCCTCTTTCTTCTGTAGATATACCCTTATGAGTTGCTTTTGGTGACAACCAGGGGGAGAAATCGCTTGCCCAAAGATGTGGACAGAACTCGGCTAGAGGTAAGTCAAATCCAACATATGGAAACCTCTTCCAAGTACCTCTGGAACCTCTGAAACTGGGTCTTTCCATTCTTCCCAACCTTGGATTTTTGATGTCAGGGATATCCAAAAGGAGATGCACTGGAAAAGGGGCAAATATGCTACAGAAATGCCTCAGAAAAAGAAGGACTTTACTCCAACTGGGAAGTGGAAAAACATTTTCCTTCCTCCTAAGAAAAAAAAGCCTGTTCTGCATGTCCCAAAACAGCTTCAGAAGCTTCAGTGGTTTGAATGCTAAAACCCCTCATGGTGAACATGCTTAACTTACATGTTCTTAATAATCCATACAACGGTAATATACACTTGCTTAAATTTTTTCCCTCACGTTGAGCCTGATTCTTGGTTGGGGATTCATAAACTTATTAATCTAGTTTTCTTGGCAATAATAAAAAGTAACTTACTATGGCCTTCTTGATTTTTTTTTAATAAGCTTCACAGTCTAGTCTACAGCCCTGAGATTTTCTGGTGGTCTCTCATCCAAGTACTAATGAGGCCTGACCCTACTTAGCTTTTCAAGCTCAGCCAATGTCAGCTAGGTGGTGAACAAAGTATCATAGACTAGTGTGGGCAGTCCCAGATTTTTCAGGCAGAAGCTGAAAGAAGCTGGCTTTCCTAAAGCTCTGAACCAAGGCCTTCCATGACCCTAGCACTTTCCTATCCCTGTTTTGCTACAAACTACATCGCTTTGTGGATTGATCCAGCAGTAGTTTGGGAAGGGGAGTAGATATTCTGTACATACAGATACTTTCAAATTCAAACATGTGACTATATAATATTAGACAGGTACAGCTGTGGCAGCTTAT